GAGCCTTCCTTAAGGAAATAATATTTGAGCCGAAAACTGAAGAATAAGAACCAGCCATGCAAAGACCTGTTTGTTTTTTCTTTCACTGTGGTAAAATATCTATAACATAAAATTTACCATTTTTGAGTGGAGTTGTGCAACCACCCCAACCACCCATCTCCAGAACTTTTTCATTTCCCCAAACCAAAACTCTGTACCCGCTAAACAATCACTCTTCACCACCCCCACCCCACTGGCAACCACTATTCCACTTTCTGTTTCTATGAATTTGACTCCTGTAGGTACCTCATTTAAGTGTATTTGGTATACAGTATTTGTCCTTTGATGACTAGCATATTTCACTTAGCATAATGTCATCAAGGTTCATCCATCTGTCAGAATTTTTAAAACGAATATTCCAATATAAACATATACCACATTTTGTGGTGTTCTTCTATTGATAGACACTTGAATTACTTTCATCTTTTGGCTACTGTGAATAATGCTGATATGAATACAAGTGTACAAATCTCTATTTGAGTGCCTGTAAATACCCGGAAGTGGAATTGCTGGATCAGATGGTAACACCATGTTTAATCTTTTGAGGAACAAACTACTTTCCATATAACAGCTACACCACTTTACATTCCTACCAGCAAAGCACGAAGATCCCAGTTTACATCCATGCCAACTCTTGTTATTTTCCTTTTTTTTTCTTATTATGGTCATCCTAGTGAGTATGAAGTGGTATCTCATTATGATTTTGATTTATATTTCCCTCATGATTAGTGATGTTAAGCATCTTTTCATATACTTATTGCCCATTTTTATATCATCTTGGGGAAAATGTCTATTCAAATCCTTTGGCCTTTTATAATTGGGTTGTTTGGCCTTTGTTGTTGAGCTGTAGGAATTCTTTATATATTCTAGATATTAACTCCTTATCAGATATAAGATTTACAAATATTTTCTGCCATTCTGTGCGTTGTCTTTTCACTTTCTTAATAAATGTTCTTTGAGACATGCAAATTTTTAATTTTGAAGAAGTTCAATGTATCTAGTTTTTCTTTTGTTGCCTGTGATTTTGGTGCTATATCTGAGAAATCACTGCCAAATTCAATGTCATGAGGCTTTTCCCTTATGTTTTCATCTAAGAGTTTTATACTTTTAGCTGTTGTGTTTAGGTCTTTGGTTCATTTTGACTTAATTTTTGTATATGGTATAAGATAAAGGTCTTGGCACCCTTGTCAAAAATCATTTGACCACATACATGAGAGTTAATTTGGTAGCTCTCTATTCTATTTCATTGGTCTCTATGTTTTTCTTTATGCCATTACCACAGTTTTTTGATTACTATAATTTCATTGAGGTTAGAGTTTTAAATCAGAGGTCACAGCAATTTCGAAGATCTAGAGTAGGGATCAGCAAACTTTTTCTGTAAAGGGCCAAATAGTAAATATCTGGGGCTTCACGGGCCATGTGCTCTCTGTCACAATTACTCCACCCTTCTATTATGGCACTAAAGTAGCCATAAACAATACATAATCAAATGGCTGTGGCTGTGTCCCAATAAAACTTTATCTTAATTGGTAACAGGACAGATTTGCCCCAAAGGCAGTATTTTGACACTCTTTGGACTAGAGGTCACAGTTGTGCATTTTCAAAGGCTTGAAGGAAGGCTAGTGTGACCAAAATAAAGGTGAGAGAGGAGGGAGCTGAGGTTGGAGAGGTAAGTAAGGGCCAGATGGCAGAAACTTGTAGACCACAAAGGGTATTTGATTTATTCTCTCTCACTCATTCACTCACCAAACATCCATCAGGGACCTACTGGGAGCTAGGGGCTGGGGCTACAAGGCTCAGTCCTCAGCCTCCCTGGAGTTTTGATATAGAGAAGAGGTGTAAGCTAAGGAGTTTTAATACAGATCATATTTCCTGCATCATGACATATGCTCTACTCCCTCACTTGAACCATGGGAGCTGCTCTGAGCTTTACCCTACTTTTAGTTCAAGCCTTTATTAATTGTCTCCAAGATGAGTGCAACTGTCCAGTCAAAAAGATTCTGCCTATAGCCTCACCTTCTTCCAAACTAGCCCCCACACTGCAGCAAGAAAATTCCTAAAATGTAATTGTGATTACACTCCCCAGCTTCAAACTATCACTGTATCACTGTTAAGTCCAAACCCTTGGGACCCTGAGTGACCAGACCCTTGCCAACTTCTCAGCATCATCTGCTCTCTCTCCTCTTGGTGGGAAGTGCTAGCTGACGACCTGGGACATTGACTCACACAAACCCACATAAGAGCATGTTTGACTCATGATTAAGCACTGCGTAACACCTACATCAAAGAAGGATATTTGCTATCTGGGTGAATTCTTGTTGTTCGTGTTTCTATTATAAAATATAATTATGAATTGAGCAAGACCTAGTAATAAAAGAGCAAACACATACAGAGATAGCCCAGCACATGTAAATGTAATATAAATTACAAGTGTAAATGCAAATTCTAAACCTGGGACCTGACCCACTGAATCAGAATCTCTGGAGGTGGGGCTCAGGAATCTGAGTTTTAGCAAGCTCCCCGGGGTGATTTTTAAGCATGATAAAGTTTGAGACCCACTGCTCTAAAATATTTATTCCTGCGGAGTAAAGGCCTTAATGGAGGCAACGTTTAAGACAAGCATGAGAATAATTTTGACAAAGAAGTAGAAATAGAATAATTTTTAACATACAAAGTTTTTGAAGTATGACATAAAAAGAAAACAGACCTAGTACATAACACTATATGTTGCGAAAGGTCCTGAGAGGATGAAGAAACTACAGGATAAACCTGACCTGGGAGCAATTGGGCTGGGGTTCAAATCCAGAACTCCCACTAACCAACTCTGTGCCTTGTAAGAAATTGCTTAACTAGAGTCTCAATTTCTGCACTAACAGGTTAGAATAATATGCCCCTTGACCTGCACCCTGTGATGGTTGTGAAAATCATGTGGGATAACGTATTCGATGATGCTTTGTATGGAAGGATAACATGGTGATCAGGTTTCTTTTCCTGCTGTAACTCCTTACAACAGAATATATGCATCTTACGTTCTACACAGGAAATGGATAGGATTTTGAGTCTTGCAGTGACTCAAGAGATTTCTCTTTAGTGTAGGTTACAAGAGATACACAGCTGGAATGAGAGGTTGCTCTGGGCTTGATAAGAGAGAACAGAGGAAAGTGGCCTCACCTGAGAAAATGGTGCCGGAGCTTTGGCAGATGGTGGTAGGAATATCATTAATACCCCTGAACTCATCTGTGGCTTTACCATTTCTCCCCCCAGAAAAGTTTAATTAAAACCTATAACAGGGGCGCCTGGGTAGCTCAGTCATTAAGTGTCTGCCTTCGGCTCAGGTCATGATCCTAGGGTCCTGGGATCGAGCCCCACATCAGGCTCCCTGCTCAGCGGGAAGCCTGCTTCTCCCTCTCCCACTCCCCCTGCTTGTGTTCTCTCTCTGGCTGTGTGTGTCTCTCTCTCTGTCAAATAAATAAAATCTTTAAAAAAAAAAAAAAAACCTTTATAAGAAAAAAGAAAAAACCTATTAACAGCTTTGGCCAATGTTCAGTCCCAGACATTCTTACTGCCTAGCAGTTGCTGTTGTGTGGGCCATTTACAACAACTTCTGTGCTGATTGGTCAAGGTTTGTGCCACACAGGTAGTTAAACTTTTAAGTAACACCTCCGGTGATACCCCATGATAGAAAGGAATGTTATTTGAAGCTTATTTCAAACAGAAGCAATTCTCCTCCCTCTGGGATGGTTTAATGGGTTCCTACAGTGCTTCACCAGGCCTGTGCATTCCCTGGACCTTTGACCCCAGTGCATACTTTTCAACTTAATGACAGATAGTTTCAGCATGTTCATTCATCACCAACAACACAATTTATAATTTATTCTGTTTCAAGCATATTTCTCCGGCTGACGAAGCTATGAGCCACTATTCTGGAAGGATTCCCATGCATGTGTGGGTAAGAATTCTACTTCTATGCTGGGGTTTCTTTCATTCATTTCACGAAGCGAGGACAGCCCAGGCCACCACACTCTTTTCTTTCCCCCTTTTTTCCCATTGCTATTTTCTCCCCTCAACTACAGACAGAATAGGTAGACTTCCTGTCTATTCATTTTTTTCCTCTTAGCTTGTCTCTTTTGGATTAAAAGCGACTTTCAGATAAATGTGAATCATTTAAGAGAGGGAGCTACTCCCAGGAGAGTCTAAAGGCCTCTCCTAAGAAAACAAAACATGGTAATTATATTCCTTACTTGATCAACCATGTAATAGATTCATATGCCTTACAATCTTTATACCTCGAAATGGTAGGTGGAAGACACCAGTTATTTTTTGAGCATGCATAATCTTTAAATTGAAAGGAAAATGTTCAAAGTGACGACTAGCTCTATTAGTTGAGGTGTGATATGACAATCCCCTAAATTGCAAAAATTAAAAAAAAATTTCTGGCTCTGCTCAAAGTGACCCCATGCAGTGTAAGGAGTGGCCCAACATTCTCTCTCACTTGGGGTGACTTGGCTTCCCACATCTAGGAACAGTTGAACAGAAACCCCAAATTTTAGATAGTCCGTTAAGCAGATACAACCAGGGCAGGGATAGTGACTGATTTTCTTTTCGGGTGCTCTTCATAAATCCCAGACTTGGTTAATACCTTCATTCCACCAGCATCCCCCAATGCTTTTCCCCCAAAGCAAAAAAAAAATCTAGAGGATCGAAGCCCTTGTTACTCAAGGCATGGTTCACGCACCAGCAGATCTGAGGCTGCCTGCAAGCCTGTCAGAAATGCAGAGTCTCAGGCCCAAACCAGACCCACGGCATTCTGCTACCTTTTTAACTAAATGTCCAAGTGATTCATATTCACATTAAAGGATGATTAGTACTGGTTTAACTGACACATTTGTTAAAGAGCATACCAAAAAAGAATCAAGATTCTCTACTCAGAACACCTGAAAAAATAAAAACAGACAACTCACTTCAATTACGACGGGTGATGCTGGAAGGAAAGAGCCCCCAGCCTTGGCCAAGAGGCAGGGTGATGCGGAGACTTCTATCCTTGTAGGTTTTCCTTTAGAGACTTCAGCCCCAGATCCATGTCCCTTAAAGTTCCAGGAACTTCCTTTTGCCGGCCCACGGGGACAAGAGAAAGAATCAGAGAGGAAATGCAGCCCCTCAGCGAGGTCCTGCAATGACCAGAAAGACCGAGGCTTTCCAAAGAAACTAGCCTTGAGGAGACGGCCACGGGGAAATGAACAGTTCTCATATCTCCCTGAGATCCTTTCTTCTGCCCCATGAGCCGGGCATTACCCACATTTCCTTCTCGACCACTGAGATTCAAACCGACGACCTAATGCCTCCAATCCACCTGGGATCCTTTCCCGGCGTCCCCGGCAAGGGGATGGGAAAGGGAGAAAAAGGCACGCGTCAGAGAGATATTTTTATCTTTCTCTTTGTGCAACAGAATCCTGATGACAGCATCTCCGACACTAGCAACAACTTGAGCAAAAATCAAAACCAATCCTAGCAAATAGTTCTGCTCTGTGTAAACTTCCTGTCCTTCGCTAGCTCTGACGAAATCAGGGGTCTCCTCTCATAGGCCCTGCCTTCTGGCAAAAAAAAGTGCCAGCAGGAAGAGAACACATTTGAAAGGAAGTGAAAGAAACCAAAGCAAAGACAGCATTAGGTTTCAGGGCAAAGACCCACCAGAGACTGGAAAAGGAGAGAGCAGCTATATTTAGAACATGCTAGCCTTCTAATGTTAGCTTTTCTAACCCAGAAATACAAGAGGAAGGTAAGACCGTACTAAATAGGCATTTCATATTCTGAAAACATGATGATGTCAAGTGAAATAATAGGACAATAATAGGGTAAAAAATTATTTATGTGATATTACTGTGATCCTGTGTGATCCTTTTCCTAGTTGTTGCACAGTTGACCATTTTGCTGTGATGTAAGCATATGGGCAATGCAGAGGTACCTGTATCTTGCCTGGAATGTAATTAAGCAAGGCATGTGTGCATTCTACTCGTAGTGCAATTATCTGTATTAAGCAAGGCCTAAAGGTAAAAAGCAACCAGTGCAAAGTTACAAACTTCCTAATCAATGGTATATTTATTTATTTATTTATTTAAAGAGTTTGTTTATTTATTTATTTATTTCACAGAAAGAGAGAGCACGAGCAGGGGGAGTGGCAGGCAGAGGGAGAAGGAGAAGCAGGCTCCCAGCTGAGCAGAGGGCCTGATGCGGGGCTTGATCCCAGGACCGTGGGACCATGACCTGAGCCGAAGGCAGACGCTTAACCAGCTGAGCCACCCAGGCATCCCTCAATGGTACATTTAAATCCATAGAGATGCAGACGCTTTATTCACCCAGTTACCTTATCCCCCTACCTCCCTCCCCTCCAACAACCCTCAGTTTGTTTCCTATGATTAAGAATCTCTTATGGTTTGTCTCCCTCTCTGGTTCCATCTTGTTTTATTTTTTCCTCTCTTCCCCTATGATCCTCTGTTTTGTTTCTTAAATTCCACATATGAATGAGATCATATAATTGTCTTTCTCTGATCGACTTATTTTGCTTAGCATAATACCCTCTAGTTCCATTTTGCCATTTCCAAGGTTTATTCTAAACCAAATAGAGCTAACTTCACAAATACAATTTTAAGGATAATTAAGACATATATTAAAAATAAATAACCACAATTCTAAGAATCAGCTAGACACTGTTGGGGAAAAAAAGGAATGTATGACACAGTACCTGCCCTCCATGGGTTGGGTAGACAAGACTAACATACATGACCCAACAGGAGGTCTGGCTGAATACCATATTAGTTCAGGCAGTAGGTAGGGGGAGAAAGGAGAACCCAGCATAGCTTATAGATCGTGGATCCTCACTTCCTACTGATGTAGACCTATTGCCGACTTGGCTAAGATGACCCAGTGAACCCGTAGCAAGGTTCAGAGTAATTGGGCTCAAGCTCTCATGATTCCCCTGTATTCCAGAACAATAAACATTAGATAAATCTTTGCTTGAGAAGTAACTAAAGCCTCTCTTCCACTGAGGCAAATCTAAGTGATTCCAATTTAAGGAAACACATATTGCTTTTCTGACAGAAGGTTACACAAACTTTAACTTTCAAATTTTCTCCCATGTTTCATGTAATGTAATTTTATGTTGTCAAATATAATATTAAGACAATAGTAATGCAGTAAAAAAAAAAAAGAAAGAAAAGAAGGAAGGAGGGAAGGAAGGAAGGTAGCAAGGAAGAGAGTGGTCAAAAGAGGAAAGTAGGAAAGGAGCAATGAAATTAGAATCTAAATGTTTACCAGTAAGGATATGGTTAAATAAAATGTAGCATAGGCATACAATGGAATATTATACAACGGTTTAAAAGAATGAGGTAGAAATATATGTACTGTCTTGACAAAGAAAGATCTCCAAGATATATTAATTGTAAAAAGCAAGTTGCTAACTAACATGTGCATACCCTCACAAAACAAAACTACATGTTTTTATATGTACCCATCTATGTATATAATCACATAGAAAAAACTTCTGAAAAAACATGACCCCAAATGGCAGCAATCTCTGGGTAGTATGGGATTAGGAGGTAGGGATGCTTTGTTGACAACATATATCTCTGTTGTTTAAAGATTTCCCATATATTTTCCTATTTCTCTTAGAGTTAAAGCCAAAGAACTTTCTATCTCCAACCCTACTTCTCTGGTCTCATTCTCCCCTTTGCTAACTGTAATGTAGCCAGACCTATCTCTTTGCTGTACCTCAAACGTACATACACCAACCCACCTCAGGGTCTTTGCATGAGCTCTTCCCTTTGCCCAGAATGATCTTCCCCCATTTATATATAGGACTCATTCCTTCACTTCCTTCCAGTTTTTCTTCAAATGGTAACTTCTCAGTGAGGCCTACCCTGACCTCCCAAATTAAAACTGCAGTTCCTTCTACTAGCATTCTTGATCTGCCTCATCTTATTTTTGTTGAGAGCGCTTATCACCTTTTGACACATGTAATTTCCCTATTTATTATGTTTGCTTTTCTCCTTCCAATAGCATGTAAGCTCTATGAGGGCATGGCTTTTTATTTGCTTTGTTCATGAAAAAATCCTTAGTCCCTAGAATTTGTGCCTAGTATACCACTAGATGCTTAATAAATGTACTAATAAAGCCACAAATTTCCCCAAGAATATATTCATGTATTTTTTGTATATATTTATCAAAGATAATCACCAATCACAAACAAACAAAAAAAATTCTAAAAAGTTAGAATAAAATGCCTGAGGACCTCCTGGCTTCTATGGAACAAGATTTGAAAATCTCTGGCTGAAAGCCAAATAAGGTAGAATGCATAGGACAAAAGCTTATTGAATGGAAGTCCTTCCATTGACTTAGCACACTATCTAATTATTTTTTTTTTAAGATTTTATTTATTCATTTGAGACACAGAGATACAGAGAGAGAGAGCATGAGCAGTGGGAGAGGCAGAGGGAGAGGCAGAGGGAGAGGAAGAAGCAAACTCCCCGCTGAGTCAGGAGCCCGATGTGGGACTTGATCCCAGGACCCTGGGATCATGACCTGAGCCGAAGGCAGACGCTTAACCATCTGAGCCACCCAGGTGCCCCACTATCTAATTATTTTGCAAACAACTAGGAGCAAACCAACCACTCCTAGAACCTCTGTGAAATACCCAGCTATTTCTTCATAGAGGCAAAAGGCCACTTAGAGGTGAAAGTCCCTTATTTCTTATAAGGGCAACACTGTGCCAAAGGTGACAAGTTGTAACAAAAGTCATGCATAGTTGTTCTTGGAGAGCTCTGTTATTTCTCTCAAAAAATGTATATCCCTAAGAATGTAGATGGAATTTAATCCCCAATCTTGTTGAAGCAGGTACTGAAGTCCTTGAAGCTGGAGAGTGAGAAAGGTTTGAAACGGCCAACATCATCCCCCACTTCAAAGTAGAAGTCTTTTAGCTAGTGATTTTTTTAAATCAGAATCAGTAGCTCAGAGGCACCTGGGTGGCTCAGTCGTTAAGTGTCTGCCTTTGGCTCAGGTCATGATCCCGGGGTCCTGCGATCGAGCCCCGCATCGAGCCCCGCATCGAGCCCTGCATTGGGCTCCCTGCTCCGCGGGAAGCCTGCTTCTCCCTCTCCCACTCCCCCCTGCTTGGGTTCCCTCTCTCGCTGTGTCTCTCTCTGTCAGGTAAATAAATAAAATCTTAAAAAAAAAAAAAAAAAGAATCAGTAGCTTGGCCGTGGAGAGGAATCCACTCCAAATTAACAAGGTAGGGAAGTCGGGTCCGCAGATAAATATTTTGCCAGTCTTATTTCCCCCCTGTCTTAACCATTCCTCAGGGCTCTGAGAGGCAGTAACAGAGAACACTTCCTTGCTTAGCCATTAAAATTATGAAAGGGTTGGGGCACCTGGGTGGCTCAGTTGGTTAAGCGTCTGCTTTTGGCTCGGGTCATGACCCCAGGGTCCTGGGATCGAGCCCCATGTCGGGCTCCCTGCTCAGCGGGGAGCCTGCTTCTGCCGCTCCCCCTGCTCGTGCTCTCTCTCTCTAATAAATAAATTTTTTTAAAAAAAATTTATAAAAAAAAAGAAAAGAAAATTATGAAAGGGCCTTTTCTGGTATCCCAATCTTTTGTTTTCCATCTTGGATTGGTTTATAATGGTGTCTTCAGAATTCTCTAGAATGAACCCAAAGAAATTTGGGATAATCTATTCCTATGTTCCAGAGTATGGAAAAGTTGCTCCAAATTTCCTTTAAGGCTTAGAAGCAAACCAAGACTTAGCAATTGTTTAATAAAAGTCAAAAATTCTGTGTTCCGGGCGCCTGGGTGGCTCAGTTGGTTAAGCGACTGCCTTCGGCTCAGGTCATGATCCTGGAGTCCCGGGATCGAGTCCCACATCGGGCTCCCTGCTCGGCGGGGGATCTGCTTCTCCTTCTGACCCTCTTCCCTCTTGTGCTGTCTCTCATTCTCTCTCTCAAATAAATAAAATCTTAAAAAAAAAAAAAATTCTGTGTTCCATATCTTTATTATCAAGACTCACAATGATTATTTACAAGTTCCTCAGCACTTATAGCTTTGGTTTCTCATTTTGCCAGTTATCAACTTCTGAGAGTTAAGGGCCTCATTCTAGGCTTTTTAGTCTGACAGTATGATGCTGTTCAAACAGCACTTATTTAATCAAGTCTTTATATTCAGCATTATAAACCAAATGATAATATAAACAGAGCTATAAACATGACCTAAAATAAAATCACACTTGTAATAGAACTTTGAAATGCCAAATCTGCTTCAGTGGTTGCTTCCAAATATTAAAAGCCATATAGGACAAGAAAAAATTAGTAACTATGACAAACTGTCTTTATTAACTCTTCATACTTGTTATTTACTGAACCAGAGACACAAGAAGCTCTGGAAGAGGAAAGCTCAAATCAAAGGAAGTATTTTTATTAAGCAGACCAACCCCACCTCTGTTTATTGCCTGGTACATTTGTGCAGCTGTTAGTAAATGTTTACAATCTGAGAAATCTAGGTACAATA